AAGTAATGAATGAAGGGCAGCCAGTTCTCAGGTGGAAAGTGGCAGCTATTTTACTGCATGCAATTTTGAGTACCGTATTAATGAGAACGTGCTGTTCCTTTGCTACTAAGCTGCTTTAAAAGCTGGCATTTCTGACTTGAAGCTTTTGTCTATTTAGTTAAGTGTTTAGTACCCTCACTGGGAGCTGTTGGGATAGCAAGGGGGACACTAAGCACTCTCCAAATGGGTGGATAAGTAACAAAATCCCGTTTAAGCTGTTGTCATGCTGCCAGATCTGCCTTCTGCATTTGAAAAATGATAAGACAGCTAATTATCTCCTCTTTGCTCAGGGAGATACCAAATACTAGCCAGGCTCTTCCCACTTTGAATTAAGAGGAAAATTTGCAGCAACTTTCCTATGGAGCCGGAGTGGTTGTGAATGAGAAACAAGCTGACTGCAGGCTGAATTTCCAGCTCATGTTCCCCTGGGAAACTCCCTGAGCACTCTGGGGCATCCACACCAGGGTAAGTCTGGCTTTCTCACCCACTTTCCTGGGCTCCACCGACAGGCTGCTCCGTGAGGGAAGCAGTGCTGGCTCTGCAGAGACCTGTCCTGCGTGGGGAAGGGGCAGCCAGGGAGCACAGACAGCCTGGCCCCCCACCTCTTTCAGGAGTTTAGACGCCTGATTGATGGCTCGATATAACGCGCACATTCCTTTCAGGAGTGGGTGGTTTACCACAAACGGAAAGGCTAACAGGAGGATGCGCTCTCCCAGCCTCCTCCACAGCCGGTTGAAGACATGTCACTGACCAAACTGCACAGAAGATTCGCGGGGCTATGGAAAGGGCCTGACTCTGTCTCGGTGAGGAGGGACCCCAGCCTCACGACAGGGATAGGTGCCTGCTGCACTAAAATCACTGGATAAAACACAATCACTTGCTTTTGCTGGCTGCAATTTCCACAGCTGAATAGATGTTTGTCTCCCTTAAATTTCAGTTGTGAATGAGGAGAGGAGCTCACTTTTACTTGTATAACACCAATACTTAAAAATCACCCTTCTTCAGCCTTTCCTAAGTATGAGAAACACCCACAGAGAGTGTGTGAGCATCACAGCAGGGCCCTGCCTGCAGCCCTCTGCACAGGCAGCATCTTTTGCTCTTAGCACAGAACTTGCAGTTCTGGCTCTGGCAACTTAGTGCAAGTCAATGTCATCAACTTTGGCTGAGTTTCTACACCGCACGACTCCTGTTTCTCTTGCTGCAAACACCCACACACAATACAAGGTGTGTGCCTGGCCCAGGAGCCCTGCTGCTGGAATGGGGAAGGAGCCAGGTTGGGAAGGAACAGGGAAACCAGTCAGGGAAACTACTGGGTCTACAGCAGAATTACGAAGTTCATTTAAGTACACCATAAACACCATAGTTTGTCCCTCACTAGACACTCAGTTTCTGCTCTCTGGGACACACAGGCTGCCTCTAAGAGCCAAGCATTTTCAGTCTGTTGACTCAGGGTTGTAAGCATCAAAAGACCATTTCTTCCAGGGTAATCCATTACCATTCAGACCGAAAAAGAAAGGGCAATGCCCTACTTCAGCATCAATCCAACCCTGCAGCGCTCCCCCTGCTGCCACGAGTACCAGCACCAAGATCTACTGCATTTCTTCAGACAGAAAAAACCAAAAAATAAATCAGGTTTCTGCCCACCAGCTGGGGACTGAAGAAGCTCTGCTTGTTGGCAATAAAAACATTCTGTTTGCCTATGGGGGATGTCAGGAAAAAGGACAGTTGTACTAAGAATAGCTTTCTGCTGGGGTCCCCTCAGTAAATTTATGACAGAATTGTATGGACATGGAGAATAAATCACTTACCTTAAGAAGAAGAGACAGAGTAAAAAGAGAAGACAGATTCAGTGTGATGGGAAGTGACTCAGTCTAGGTAATTACCCAGTTAGAAGGTAACGGACAGACTTTGGGAGGTGGTGAGAGAAATCCCTTCTTCCCATTCTGACAGCTGTTCGAGGAGGTATTCTCAAGTAGATGACCATGAGGGTAGAAAAGACCTGCCTTGTGCCCCTGTCACAGCTGTGTGACGTGGTGAGCAGCACAGAAGTGTAACCCCAGACCAGAACCCTGTATCCAAAACGCAAGCGTTTCTCACACCGCAACTCTGGCCCAGAGACAGAGTCTTTGCTCTTTGCTTCCAGGGGACTGAGCCTTTGCAGGCTGAGAGCATCCTCAGCGGAGAGTGGCCACTCTGCGCTGCCCCCCAGGTCTGCCCCCATGACCTTTCAGTGCCAGCCTTGCACTGCCATCATGGCAGCCACAGGGTACAGCTTTCTGACCACTTCCAGGTTCACCCAGTCTGCCTGTAAAAGGTATGGGCTTGCAGAGGCTTGTGCATCTCACATGGCTGTAGAAGTGGTGCTCATGATCAGACCCTCAGTGTGGTTTACAGAACACATTTTGTTTACTTCGGTTTACAAAGTAAAGCCACGAGCTTTAATTCTCCCTAAAAACCAAAACAACTGGTGAAGTGCATGATTCAGAGTGGCATGGTGCAAATTTTTGCAAAGTAACAGACACAAAATCAAAATAATTCAAATTATACATACATGTAAAACAAAAGAAACTCAAGTTAAAACCAGGACTGATTTCCTATTAGCCCTAGAGACGATCCAAGAATATGTCAGAAAATAAATAAATCATTCTAATTTTCACCATAAAAGAGGGCACTGCTCACTAATCCAAATGGTTTGGATATTTACAGAAGGCAAATGGGTTAGAGGAGAAATAGAAAGAAGAAAAACATTCATAAGAGTGAACTGAAATGCTGCAGGGTGATCACTTCCCACATGCCCCACTGTGACTAAGAGAAGGCTTTAAATCACTGCAAGGGGCCAAAGAAATTTCTTTTGAGCAGGACACCATCATCTGCCCCACGCTGGAGGGACTGTGCCAAGGTAAGACCAGCATGGTCTACTAGGTTTGGCTGTCACCACAGAAGCTCCATCACAATCCATGGCCATCCTGGGGCAAATGACAACAAATAAGTTGGCCTGGTCAGTCCAATTTATGAATAGAAGGGCAATTTGTCCTAGAACCCATCTGAAGAGAAGACTGCTTAAAGCCACATCTTCCCGGCCTCTGCTGGACTGTGCACACTCCAAGGAGGAGGCAGCCAGCACAACTAAATCTCTGTTCTTCAACATGTAAGCACAGCTGGTGATCAAAACACTCGGCATTTCCACAAAGGCCAATATCTAGGGCGCCTTAGGTGACTACAAGAAAGAGCAGGCCCTTTCAAGTATCTCTTTCAACATTTGCAAACCACAGGAGACAAAGCAACACCCTCGTTTTCAAAGGCAGTGTGACTTGTGCTCATCGCTGGTATTTCTGATGCTTTGTTACCAAATAATAATCTGCTTTCTTTTTGCTGCACATGCTACTAAGGCCAAATCCTGACAAGTCAGAGCTGTACTTTCACTGCAGCCAATGGAGCAGAAGATGCTTAATGCCCAACAGAAGCAGGGCAAATTCTGCAGTTAATGTCATAGCATGCAAAAAACCATCCTTAAGGCTCATCCTAACCTTCTGTTTCCTTGTCAAGACAGATTTATCTACAGTCAGTACCACAGGGACTAGATTCGAGTGGCAGTGGCGTTTTATCCATATTTTTAATGGGATTTGACATTTAAGGCAGCATTTCAGTTCACCTCTAAGCCTGTAATTACACTTGCAAATCTGCTTAGCAAGACATCAGCAGAGTATCCTAGGGGACTGCTCAAACAGATTGGTTCTGTTCCCATAGAAGCAGCATTTGAGTACCAAGTGATGCTACAAAGCAGACACTGCAGACTGCAGTGCCTGACACAGACACTTGCAAACTGGACCCACTCCTAATCTTCAAAATAAAAACAAGAAGACTGCAAAGAGCCCTCGCTTTACCTTAAAAGCAACATTGCGCTGAGTCAGATACCACTGGAGGTCAGGAGCACTTCACGAATACACTACTGAGACAGGACTCCTTTCTACACCCCTCTGGTTATCTTTGGTTTCACAAAATCTGCAAGTGCTAGAAGTATCAGAGCAGCCCAAGGATGAAATCATGTTTGTCACCTGCTGTTCTGGAATCATGATGGCCTAGTGCTGAGAAGCACCTTTATGACTCTTGCACAAGTGCAGATTTTGCCCAGCGCCTCCTTCCCAAAGGAATCCATTTTGAGAGCAAATTGATGCCAAATGCCAGGATGCTCAGGACTCTATTTTGCCCCCAATTTACACACCCCTCCTTTGCACCCAATTTACACCACCACCTCCAAAGATATGACTGGAACCAAACAAAGTACATATGAAGTACTCTGCTGGGACTCCACATATACTCAGTTCTCTTCAGGTTCGGGGAAAAAAAAGTCTGATTTGTTCAGCTTTGGACTTTTCATCCATGCCCATGGGAGGCAAAGTGAAGGATGTCCTTCTCTCACAAGCCACCTGAGCAGATCTTTCTGCAGGATGCAAATGGTTTCATCCCTGAGTTCAACTTTAAAAGAGAAAAATGCAGTCCTCAGACATCATCACCCTAGCTCCAGAAGCAAAGAGAACATTTAGCACAGAGCTCTCTGCTGCAGGAATAAAGAGCCAACAAGCAGCACAAACCTGGGAAAGATGGAGAAAAGCAGAAAGAGGCTAATTTGTATCATACCAAAGAAACAGAAGGAAACCTGAGGCCAAAGAGTTTAGACAAGTAGAAGAAGAAAGCTTACAGAAGGTAGACTGCACTGTTCAACAGCGAAACCTTTGCAGCCCTCAGTGCTCATTTGGGAGCAGCCTGGTAACTCCGTCAACAATGATCCCAGACAGGCAAGAAAAACAAATCTAGAGAACATTCCCAAAGAGACATAAGATCCCTCAAGGCCATTTCAATGACATGAGCAAAACTTGAATTCTCTTTTTTCCCAGCAGGGATGACATGACACTTTGTCCAGTTTAGTGCATGCAGTTCTCCTCTCCTCAGCAAGACTTCTTCTAGCTGACTGATGTGCAGTTCAGCTCTGCAGGGTTCTGCCTACCTTCTGCCATGACTCCCTCTGGCCCATCGGCAATACTGGGCTCACTGGAGCACTGCCTGTGGCTAAAACTGGGCTGCAGGAGGAGGCATTTGTCAGTACTGTCTGACTCCTCAATCACCATTCCTGTATGCATCATGGAGGCCATTGCCAGGAGCTGAATATCTGAGTGAGCATTGGCAACAGTGTGGCGACGGATGCTACCACATTTCTCCAGGTAAGCCTCACCCTCCTGCTCTGTCAGTGGGGTCAGGGCCATCTCGCTGGGCTGCCGGCTTGTCACCATGTGAGATGAATAATTCAGTACACCAGTCTTAGGACGGGATCTGGAGTACCGTCTCTCTGGAAGAGAAAAAGGAAGCAGTAACAGTCAATAGGGCACAGACAAAGCATCGCCTGAACTGCTAGGCTGGCCTCAGGGAACTGAGAGGACTCAACATGCAGCCACAGAGCCTCTCACCTCGTTACCACTGGGGAACAGTCAGGTGCTCATTAGTTCATACTGCCAGGCGTTTGGAAAGGAGGTCTGCCTCTCCCCTGGTAAGGAGATGCCTCCAATCCTGCTGTAAGGCAACGGTGCTGCTGCCTGGGAGAGAAGTGAGCCAAAAAGTAATGAGTGCAGCAAAGGGACTTTCTTCAGCATCCTGATGGTCTCCTCTCTTACCGAGGGGAGCAGGAGCTCTCATGTGCAGGTCTACTAAAATCAGTGACACTAAAGTGGCACAAGTCCCCAAAGAAACATTCAGTGAGGACCTGAGTAGCCATCCCTTTCTCTGGAAAATTTCTCTCAGGAGATGCTGTTAGCTGGTGTCAACATGAAATTCCTGATGCTTACATTGCACTGCCTCTCCAGCTGCCTAGGGAAAGGCAGTTCTGCTAGCATTATCCCATTGTATTTTTTAAAGATTATACAAGAAAAAGAACATTTCATCCACTTTAAAACATGTCTGGTTTTGGGGCTAGACACTGAAAACACCTAACAGTGCACAGCAACATCCCACAACAGGGGAAAGGCGCAGAAGAGCAAGACAATACTTGCAGAGCATGGGTGAAGGTGGTGACACAGAATTGATGGGTGCAGGGTCTATGATCTGCTCAGCAAAAACTTTAAGGGGGAAAAAATGCCTGGTTTAAAACTCAAATCCAAGGCGCAGTCCTCAGCCTTGTATCATGAAGCACCATTTCAATTCTGACACTGAAAGCTTTAAGAAAAGCAGGGATCTGAGTTTGTGCCTTGGCTCACTGTAATTCACTCCCCTAGCAGGTTGAATCAGGCAGTATTACTTTTCACCTACTGTCTTCCACTGCTGTGCAGCATTGCCATGTGGTGTTAAAACACCTCATGTAGTCTATCCCCGAAGCAGCTGATAAAGCTATTCCCTACCTGTCTCTCTGTTTCTCACCAGCTTCCTTGAAGTGCAGGGTCTCATTTCATAAAGTCGGAAGCCTTTAAACCATATAAAATACTTCCACCAAGACTGCAGAGCATAGGAGATAGAGTAACAAAATGCAAAGCAAAGCACTCATCACTGAAGGTTATAAAAGAGTTTTGGAAGCTTGCATCAGGAAGAAAAGCAGAAAACACACTCTATATTGTTGCAGGGAGGAACGGGTAAGCAGCCAAAACTCCACCACTGGCAGCAGCCAAGCTATGACAACACTTCACCCCGCTGCTGCCAGTAATACATTCATTCAAAACGGTTAATTTCATGCTTAAGAGTATGTGCAAATAATTTTTGAAGCTGGTTATGTTAAATATATTCTTTAGGTGTCACCTGCAGCTGAAGCCACAGCAAGCTGTAGTCTTGGAGGGCACTGGGAGAAAGTAACTTAAGGGGGGGAGCCACACAAGCATCCTTCCGCTCTGCACGGCAGCGGCAGGCAGGGAAGCAGCAGGTGAGCATCCTAGCACAACACTAGCATCACCAAACCCCGCGCACTGCATTAATGTTCTGCTGCTGCCTGTGCCTGGCTCTTGGAAAGTTACCCTGGCATAGGCAAGACCAAAATAATACTGGTGTCATTAGCAGTAGCTGCTTCTCCACCTTCAGCAGTATTTATCAGGGCTTCTTCACTTCTGTGAACAAAAAGTGAAGTATTGATACCAAAAGAGAGAAGCCAATGGTGCGGGCAGTTACATACTTGCAAAAGGACCCACCCAGGCTGAGATCTTTAAACGTATTTAGGTGCCCATCTCCTGTCTACGTTAGGAAGTCAGACACTTTTAAGAGCTGTTCAGCTCTTGGGCTGAGAGGAGAAAGAGAGCTCAGTAGCCTCTTGAGGTTGGTTCATTGCACTCCCTCGTCCCATTATTTAATATTTACATTGTGTCTATCCTGCAGTGGCTTCAGCTATGCAGAGGTATCTTAGCTAACTAGAGAGATCTGAGGAGATTAAACTGAACTGAGCCATGCAAAACTGCCAATTTTCCAGGCTCCGCAGCTACAGATTTTGCAGGCAAGGGCTGAATCTTTCTTCTTCTCTGCTCCTATACAACACATTCAAAATTAAAACATGCTTCATTTAAACAGGGACAGCTTGCAGCCCTTCCCAAAAAGCTAGGATACACAGGAAAGAAAAATCATGGCCATGGCCTGATGTTCACTTAACAGATATTCACTTAATAGATAATATTTTTTTCTCCCATGAGAAAGAAGTGCCAGTTTTGTGTGTAAACTTTTAGTGCTCCTGGAAGAGCCAAGCCTGATGATGTGAGAGATTAAAGTCTACTAAGAGAAAGCATAATATAGGAAGCAATAATATAAAATTATTCCTGCCCAGCCTGGCAACCCTGCCTTCACATGAACTGGCAAAGAGATCCTGAGATCCTTTTCTGTCACGTCCTTGACTGCTGTGGTAAAATGGTCAACTAGTATCATTAGTTACATCAGCTACAGTGGTTGTTTGCAATCCAGGCAGTCTGTATTCACCATTTACCAGGCTTATACATGATGTATGTTCTTGCATACATGTTTGCATGGATGTGTACACACACACACACACTCTCACTGACTAGCAGACTGTACAGAGCTGATGCACATGCCAGTGTTTCAAAGTCTGACATCAGTCAGCTTTTGAATATAATCAGAACCTGGATGGGGAGACTGTAAAAACGTGCTGGTATCAAAGGAAACAGCGACAGTAATTCAGAAGACCAGAAGACTCTTCCCCTCTGACCTATATCAGCACGGAAACAGGAGCATTGCACCGCCTGCTGCGTGCAAAAATAAAGCAAAGGTCCTGAGTTTGACTATACTGAAGTAACTACTGTAGCCCAGAAACCCTGCAATATGCTGAGCCCAGAATTGAGCAGAGGTTGCAAACCCACCCAGGAATCTGGACAGACACACAGGCAGCATGCGCTGGGGCTCGTGCTGCCACCTGTTCACCTAAACCACACAGCTGGTTACCAGTGTGAGCATATTTATACTAAAAGTAGATCCACATTTAGTCAGCCTTTGCATGGCATGTTTTTTAAGTAGGCAAGCAATCGATAGCAGTTTATCCCCAGTGCATACTTTAGTTTGGAGAAACTAAACTTTAACTCTTCTCCTCTCTTCAATTCTGTTACAATCAAGCTGCTACTTTCTATCTCAGAAATTTCACCATATTCTTCTTGCCACCATGGTCTTTTGAGATGATTTGTTTGATGCTCAAACAGACATTTTGCTTCAGATACAGCTGAATGCAAAACACTGTAGTAGACAACAGAAGAGTTAACCAACTGACAGAAAGGGCCAGTTTTGAAAATCACCAAAACTCCCCTCCAACTCCTCTTACAGCAGTCTCACCCACCAATCAGGACAACGCTAGCACTTCACTGGTGGACTTGGAAACCCAACTGTTTAAGCATCCAAGTGCATTGATAACCTAGACCTTCATCTGTGTCAATCCCTGACCATAAAATTTCACAGAAGTTGGGACAGAGGAGGGAGGAGGAAGGTGGTGGTGGTGTGAAATAAACTAAAGAGGTTAAAGGACAAAGTGCTCAAATTTTATCTGATGCAGCCACAGGAATTATCCAGCTTCACAGCAGCACATGAACGGTCCAGTATCCTGCTGTCACAGCAAAATGGGTAGGACTCCAGTGAAACATGTTGGAAACACACGTGACAGAGCTGGTGGCACTCAGCACTTCAGTTAGAAGAATTCTTTGTTCTTCCCCCACCAGCAAACATTTTTTCCTGAAGTTGTAGCTGTAAGAGCTAGGACTGGAAAGGCTTGCCTGGGCAATTACAGGAGGCCAGGTGTTGTGTAACTAACACAAGAAGAGGAAAGTCCATTCGTTGCCATCTACTAAGGCTACTCAGTCTTCAGCTTGACTGAGGAAACAGGCCTCGCTTTTGATTTCTGAATTTGCTAATTCAGTTAAGACCTGGTAGGTCTCTGCTCTTATTTTCTCCCTACAACAGTAGCGAAGACATTCTTAAGACATTAAGCAATGTTTTCTAATGCCAAGGGTGAGGGCTACAAGAAACTGCACAGAGGAGCTGAGGAGCTTCCCTCAGTGGAAGTTTTTAAGAGCAGGTTAGCTGTAGAAATGGTTTACTTATGACTGACAAGATAGTGAGAGATGGACAGTGAGGAATTTCTCAATGTTTATTCTCTTCAAGGGAGGGATCACCTGACTCTCTTGAGGAAAAAATATCCACAGATTATTTTTGTGCAACAAAACTAAAGTCCTTTATGATGAGAATCAGGTAAAAATTAGGCTAAACTCTGAACATTTGTTTATTGTTTCACTTTTCCCCCTATACTTTCTTGGCCATAAAAGACAGTCTCTTAAGGGAGTTATCATGCATAGTTTAACTAGAAATTTTATTTCTATTTTGGTGCATTATGGCCAGGAACATAAACTGGGAGGAGTTTTTAAGGGATTTTTTGCAAGCAAGCTCAAATCAGCAGTAATGTTAGGTTTAATACACAGGGGCAATAGGGTGAATGTTTTATCTTCTTCACTATTCCCTATTTAAACATTGTTTCTTAGACAACTGGATCCCTTCAGCATACTCCACCCTTACAATGCAGGTTACGGCTAATTTACACGGGTAAAGCAAGAAGGGTGGTAACAGAAGAGAAGGTGGGGATGCTGACCTCTACGAATCCCCGCTGTGAGCTGTCCTGGCCCCTTTCACACCTATGCCTGCTGCACTCCTCTCTCACTTTAAATCAAGTTTAAGACACAGCAGCCTTGCAGGCTGAAGCCCTATATGTATTCACAGCTGTCACCAGACACCTTCAGTCACATTTCTCAATGCTTGTTTGTCTTGAAGGTTCCAATCCAGAGAGCAGTTTGGCCTCCACAGCATCTGCTGAGAATGCAAGCGTACCCAAAGCCCAACAGTGCATTTCCAAAAAGCTACTACAGGGAACCTACTGGGCTTCATCATCATTACAGGCTGCCCAGTGAGAGAAGAAACTGGTTCTGAGAAAGAAAAAAGGTGACAGAAAGAGGGA